CCTCCGACCTACTAGCGATGGCCTCCAACCTAAGGGCGATGGCCTCCAACCTAGAAGCGATGGCCTCCAACCTACCAAAAGCTTCGTTTTGGTTGTGCTTTTAAAAGGCTCCTTTTTGTACGCAGGCGAGAGTGTGAGACCGATGTAATTCACCAGACCTTCGCAAAACATTATGCGGAGCTCTTCAATCAGGACGCAAGTCTGAGTGCTCAACAAGAGCGCTCATTACTCATAAGAACTGCTTGGCTTCATCGATGTTTTGTTGGTGAATGCAGCTCAGGAGGTGCACCGGCATGCTGTAGAAACTGGCTTGGGCCGCTGTGGGGCACATGACATCGACTTTTTGTTGACTCATGCCCTTTGGCATCATGTAGAGTCTGTTGTTCCGATTCATCAAATTCGAAGGCGTGGTGACTTTCTTCACTGACTTTCATGAGGTGGTTGAAATGCCAGACAGGGTGACCATGTCTGCGGAAGCCTTCGTGCTGGGTGAGTGCCCAGCACATAGAAAGCACCAACGACACTGGGCGCAGGCCACTTTTGCTTGGTTGCATTCCAAGAAGCGACACACCTAGCACTGAAAGTGGCAGAATCTACAGTGGAAGAAAGGTCTAACACAGTTTGCTATTAGATTGGAGGCCATCGCTATTGGAAACAAAAGAAAGGTCTAATATAAGAACGGTGCAGGCTGTGCAGGCTTCCGGGTTTTCGTGTCCGAGACCGGTCAAGGTACCGGAAGCACAACACAAATGGTGGCTGCACCATAGGTCCGCGCACCACCCCACAGGCCTTCAGCAACTTTGCTGAGACTTAGCTTCTTTATGCCTTTGAAGCAAACGGTGTTCACCTGAATTGAATTTTTCAAGCAAAAGCCTGAAATCAACAAACAGTGTAGAGTCAGATGACTCTTCTGAAGTAAAAGCCCGCCCAAAGCTTTGCTGCTCTTGTCCTTTTCTTTTAAGCCCGCCCTTATTTAATTAAGCGGATACTGCCTACTTACTTAAGTAAGGGAGAAGTTCCCAACTAGCTACTAAAGCTTCTAGTAACTGGACCCAGGATAGCTCACGCTTCTTCAAGGAAGCTCCCCCGCCTGAGGGTGGAGGGGAGCTTCCTTGAAGACGCGCGCGCACTAATGCTTTGGTTCCTAGTAGCGATGCACTTGTTACTAGTAGCGTCCTCTTGTTCCTAGTAGTAAGGCCAGGAGCCCCTAGTAGCGTCCTTTGCTCCTAGTAGCTTCTTGTTACTACTAGTAAGGCACCTGTTACTACTAGCGTGGCACTTGTTCCTAGTAGCGTCTTTGTTCCCACTTAACTCTTGATGGACCGCGCTGAGGTTACTTTACCTTCATCAAGTCTGGTCGCCGGCTGTGTGAAACTTAGATGAAGTCCCACGTTGGATCGTGGATCGTGGATTCGATAAATATCGGAAGATTGCTTAGGATGATCGTTGACATTCAGGGCGTTTTGGATCTCTACACAGGCGGATTTGTTGGGCCCTTTACGGAGTGAGTTAGTGACCGGATTTTTCCTTTGCGCCCTTGTTACTAACTTTGTCGATCTCGACGTTGCGCTTTTGGCGAGTCTTTGGGTTTTCTCGCCGTCCAGATCCAGTGATTCACTTCCTTCCGAGTCAAGTCTCTGGGAAGCTGGCGGGTGCAGTCCTCAAGACAGCGAGGGACCATCGCAACATATTGCTCTGCCAGCATTAACGTGAACGAAGCTGGGCCGTGATGAATTGGAGGAAGAGGTAAGGTGAATTAGCCTGTATGACATGTCCAGCAGGGACAGGGTTTCGTGGAAGCTTCAGGAAGCTTTAGCCACGAGAAGCTTCCTTGAACAAGAATACCATTTTGTCGGAACGGACATGACAAAAGACTTGAAGTTTGAAGCTACTAGAGTCCTAGAGGCTCCTGGCCATACTGGGAGCAAGGACGCTACTGGCTCCTGGCATTGCTACTAGTAGCTTCTAACAAGGCCGCGTGTCGACGCTCAGGTGCGGACATGGAGCTGAACTTCGGGATTCGTGGCTTTGCTTTGTTCCTTTGGAGCCACCGCCGGAATGACATCGCAGCTCAGCCAGACTGTCCGTGTGCCCATTGAGATCCATCTAGCACTTGACTGGTCTTTGAAAGGTTTCCTTGCTAGGAAGGAGTGGTCAAGTCCAAGGTTGACCAGAATGAAATCCTGTTTAGGCCTTTGATGGACATTGGTATTGACACTACTAGGAACAAGAAGCTACTAGGGGCTCCTGGCATCGCTACTAGGAGCATTCTTACTACGAACGGAACAAGAAGCTTTGCTGAAGAGATTCGGTGAGTCGGGTCAAAGCACTCGGTTCATGGAAGAACCACGTAACAATGTTTGCTAGTAGTAACAAGTGCCTTACTAGTAGTAACAAGAAGCTACTAGTAACAAGTGCATCGCTTCTAGTAACAAGTGCCTTACTAGTAGTAACAAGAAGCTACTAGTAACAAGTGCATCGCTTCTAGTAACAAGTGCCTTACTAGTAGTAACAAGAAGCTACTAGGAACAAGTGCATCGCTTCTAGTAACAAGTGCCTTACTAGTAGT